ATACCTATAGGATCCTAAAGGCGTTTATTTTTGCTCCGGCTGTGAAAAGGCGCCTTTTTGCGTCCAGGGGCGGAACTTGGGATTTCAACAATCCCTGGAGGCGTTTTTGTTTTTCTGGGCGCGTTTTTGTTTGGATGGAATTTCATCGTGCTTCAGTGCTCCAGACAAGCTGCAGTGGGCTCAAGATAGAAACTGAAGGAGCCTGAACTTGCTTTTCAGTACGCATCCCGCTTTTTTGATTCGTGAATGCTTTCAGAGAGCTGCTTTTGTCTGAACATCCGCCCGGTAGGCAACATTTTTGCTCAAAATGACTGCAGTATCCCCTCCTGCTTTTGAACCTGATGTTCATGAAGTGTTGAAGTCAGTAGGTGGGGCTTGAATGCTTGCCTTTCTCATTTGCTCACTCATTGCTGGACTGTCTGGTTTTGACTCTGGATAGGTCTTCATGAGTTTCCACTCCACTGGTACATGGAAGTGCAGAAAATCCTATGGCCACTGGAGCCGCCTGAGGAGTATCAAAAAAGACATTATATGTTGCCCACTTTAGTTGCTGCCTGTTTGTGATTATAATCGCTCTATATAGTTTTGATGAAAGCCTGGGCAGGATAAATTGTCCCTGACTAGGGCTTCCTTGATGAAGGCCAACTATGAAGCCCATGGTTCGGTGTTCGAGCTCGCTAAATTTTTGAAGACTTGGGAAAGTGAGCGTGACTTAAACTGCGTTATGTTCTTTTGACACTCTTTTACATTCATGATCTTCAATTCCTGGATTCGACCCAGCCTAAGGTAAGGCGGAGGGAGCGCGACCAAATGAGGAGATACCTCCAATCGAGCAGTGGACTGATTCACAGCCTCAGGACTCACAAATGGAACCCTGACAAACGGCGTGAGTCTGAGTGTTCTTCTGTTTTGGGTGGACTTTGTCCAGGTGGTCTTTGGCCGTGTGTCATTGATTTGTTTGAATATAGAGATAGTGAGATAGTTACATTAGTTGTTGCTTTACAGAGAGGTCACCCAATTTTGGTGCCCGATTACACTCATTGAGCAATAATCGCTCATGAAGATAGAGCGTCGACCATCCAAACAAAAAGCAACTTTCATCAATCAAGGAGGCGCCAACAAATTACTATCTTTTTCTTGCTGATGTGTCCACCGCAGGTACATACCATGGCCTTGTGGTGGTGGGACCTGAACGAGGCCACGGTATGTTGACCACCCATTCATTTATGATTGTGACCACTGGGAAGGCCAAAGCGTCTCAGATTGACGATGGTGCTATGTATCCAAAGGCTGGGTCAATGAACTTATGTCACTCTGTTCAATCTCGAATTGTTTTTTTCTAGTCTCGGTTCCTGACCCTTTTTGACTTCTCTTGCACAGGTCTGGAGCCAGATGTTCTTGGACCTGTGCCCCGAAGTTTTGCACAGGACATGGGAGCAGCGCGTGCGTGGTTCCTGTTTAGGGCTGAGGGTGGGACTGACTTACTTTTTCTTCGCAGCCCCTTTTCGTGACATCAAGGGAGTAAGTTACAATTTTGCTCCATAGTGATGGCGATTACTCGGCAAAAATCCCTCAAGCTTTTGAGTGGTTTGGCGGATGATTTGGAGTGTGACAAGCACACCCGCCGCAAATGTTTGAAATCGAGGGTTGTGCTTGAGTGGCCAAGTACTGAACAGACTGGAGTCATTTCCTTTGAGAGCGTCGCGTGCAACAGCGAGATCTTGAAAGTAGTGATCCGCAAGTGGTGTTCCCAGATGGACAAGCCCAAGACCCTTCCTGTAAATGAGTTGAAGACCAAGGCCGATGGTTGTGGTTTTGTAGTTGTTTACTTCTGGTTGTTGACTTGGTCGCTCTGTGTTTAATCATTGCCATGCTATGCTGGCAGGTTCGCAACTTCCGGGCCAAGTTGAAGCTCTCAGTTGCTCCAGCTGCAGTGCATACTGATGCACACGCAGTGAAGGGCTTCATGTCGTTTCTGCATAGGCGCAACTTCATTTGTGAGCGCAGAGATCCTTGATTGTCCGATATTGTAAGTTCATGTTTCAACCAGTGACAGCTCATGACACCGTGCCTTCATCAGACTCGTAGTTCACTTTTTGTTTCGATTTGACTGCTCAGGATCCAAGTGTGGCTGAAGTCTTCAGGTGCTTGCAGGAGTACTGGCCAGCTCGGGACCGTGCTCATGAGGGCACCGAGCCAGCCTGTGAAGAGGAGCCTGAGCCAGTCCATGACATAGCCGGAGAGGAGCCTGTTGTTGCTTCCAGCCAGCCAAAGCCAGGAAGCGAAGGGGCTAGTCATGTTGAGGAAACTCATGATGAGTCCCAGATGGTTTCAGAGCCAACCACGCCACCTTCATCTAGAGTTTGTGTGGAGGATGACGAGTACTTAGCTTGGACACTTGGGGGTACTCTCAAGAAGACGGCAAGTCCAGGTTCGATCTGGACATCACCCAAAGGTCTCGATGATCAGAGCGCACACAATTCCTTGGAGCACCAACTGTTCGTTCTTGAGTAACATGGCCGTACAGCAAGCACTTGAGTTCTTACCCTGGTTTGTTTTCGATGATCTGATGATTAGCTGGTTCTGTCCTTTGTTTTGTTCTGTTAGGCAGGGAATGGCAGAGCGGCGAATGGTTCTGAGAGGGGTGGACGCAGCTGAGAAATGGACAGGACAAAGACTTAGCTTCATGAAAGTGTGATGCCCTGTTATTTTTTAGACATTGTATGTTTTTAGGTCCACCAGTGCCTGACAATCACGAGACGCTGGCTTTTGACGCAACACAAATTGCAGAGTCTATGTCAGGTCAGTTGTTCAGTTCATCGCCGTCGTCTGTTGAGACTGTAGAGGCATCGTTCATGTTATAAACAGAACGAGTCCTTTTGTTTTCAGGGGAAGCGGGTGACCTTGGTGCACATCTGCCTGCAGCCGAGCCACCCACTGACTTAGCTTTGTCTGATGCCAAATCCAGTGAACCCAAAGGGAGTGAACAAGAAGTGGACCAGAAGCCTCTGTCTGAAAGTCCAACATTGATGCAACAGGGCCCAGTTGAGCCAAGTGAAGTGCAGGTCGCAGTCGAGAAAGTTCAGGTGGAAGGGGGCCAGCCTGCGATTCCCACCATGACTCCTAGCAAAGTCGTGGCATCCCAGACTTGCAGTCCGACTTTACAACAGCTTGCAGCCGGGCAGGCTGGATTTTTTCTCTACCTGTTCTGTTGTCCTTTGCTTTCTGTTTTCACTTGAGTCGCTCATCCCCTTTCCATACTGCGGAGGAAGCCTTGGATCGCGAAGAACAGATGCTACACACAGACGAAGTCTACCAGCAGTTCAAAAAAATGAAACGCCCTGCAGCGTCAAAGAAAACCAAAGCGAAGGGAAAAGGAAAGGCGAAGGTGAAGGTATCCCCGAAGAAACGTGCTAAGGCAAAGGCGAAGGTCAACACGTCCACCAAAGCAAAGGCAAAATCAAAGGCAAAGACAAAGGAGGATCCCCAGGATGCGCCAAACACAAGTGCCACCAAGAGTAAGAACCGTAAGTCGGAGGCCAGTTCACCTAAGAAGAAAGCGAGGCGAGCATCAGGGGGTGAGAAGCGAACATTTGCCCGTCGGTATGAACCCAAGCGCACTGCGTCTCAGCTGTGGTGGAAAGCGCTGTCCACGGCTTTTGTAGAACACATCCAGAACAATGTGGCACGGCCCAGCGCACAGGAGGACCAAGTGTCATTATCTTTTTTGCCTTTCATTCCCTCCTTTGTCTAGGGATAGTTTGCTCTTGATTTTCTGCAGGACCCATTTTGGTCTTTTTCGGTTGAGAAATGGAATGCGTTGGCAAAAGAGAAGCAGGGAAGTGACCTGTTTCCGACGTTTGCTGCCGAGTGGGCAAAGCAGTTTTTGGAGCTCCTTCAGAAGTAGCTCTGCATTGAAAATTGGAGACGCTTTGAAACCACGTACAGTGTGAATTTGAGTATACTTGTGTTTCAATGTTCTCTAGGTTTTGAGAGCTGTTGTTTCTGTCTCATGAAGAGTAGTGAGTGGCAGGGCTACGGGGATGTGAGGATCAGGATTTCACCAGAAATCCTAGAAAGCCGTTGTTTCGGGATCCTGCGTGCAATCTCAGCACACGTGGGCAAGGGGAAAGAAAAGTATGTGATTTGGCGTAGTCGCTTTTCTCGCGTACGTTCGAAGAAGGAAGTAGGCTTTGGAGGATTGGAGCTGGCTCCAGGTACACCTTGATCTGATGCCCCGATTTCTGGCGGCTTTTTGCAAGTACGGACATGCAGGTGGACCTGGCCAGTTTGTTGCTTGCACGTGTTTCACTTGCAATGGAAACGTTTCCAAAGGAGTCTGCGCTGGTCAGCTTTCTTTGTTCAAACCGTTTGCCAATACCGCACGGTTCACCTCAATCAGCCATGACGCCTTTGGAGCTTGAAATGACAATCCGCCGTCTCATCTACCTAGGATCTCCGAAGGTAGCTTTGGTGACATTTGACTGTGCATGATTTGTAATTTGCTACCTCTGCTTTGAGGCTGCAATGAGTGAGTGCTGGATGGAAAGCTGAAGCTCAGGTATGGGTCATGCTCATCATGATGGTTGGATGGCTCAATGTTCCAACACCACCTCAAGAGATTGAGGTTTTGGAGCTGTTTGCTGGAACTGGGCGGCTGTGTCGTCTTGCAAAGGCTTGTGCAATCCCTTCACAAGCCCATGACCTGCTCTATGATAAACATGAAAGATCTTCAATGGATTATAACTCACCATCTGGACTGATGTTTCTTTCCTAGCATTGATTGTTTTTCATGCTTTTTTGTTCAACCAAACATGGCAGTCATGAACCCTTCCTTGCGACAAACTGAGTTATGGGCCCCTTTGGTTGAACAAACTAAGACTTGCCATCCTGGCCGTGGTCCATGGCAAGTTCGGATATCTCCTTGCCTTGATGGGGATACAATGCTCATCATGGGTTCAGATCAATTCCGGGACGAGTATGAGGGATGTGCTGTGTCCCATGGGCTTGGCAGGTCAACCTTCGGTTGACTCTGCCAATTTAATGGTGGCGAGGCGCATTTTTCATGTTGACGGGATCTGTTCAGTGATTCTGTGTTTTTGGCTGATGATTCCTCTTGGTTTGTTACATGGACCAATGAACTTGTCAGGTTTTCTTTGTATGTGCTTTTGCTCATCGCAGCTGGAGCTGTTCCGCTCATTGAACAGCCAATGTCCTCACTCCTATTTCATCATGACAGAATGAGATGGCTCTTCAAAACGCTGAGAAGAAGAAACATTTCAGTTCTTTTGCTTAAAGAAGCACGAACATTGAACCTACAATGTATGCAGGTGTCAAACACTTAACTAGTAGTCTGTTTAACTGCTGTTCCGGCTAAGATTTGGAGACAAGCGTTCTGGATGAAGCATTATGCGCATCCAAACTACAAGCCTACACGGTTGTGGAGTACTTCCTGGAATGTGTGGAAGTTTTCGCTCGGGAAGCTCCAAACAAAAAAGGTCAAGAACCTGACTCAAACAGCGCGGAAATACAAGGACAAGCAAGGATGCTCTAGATATACTGGGACGTCCCACTTGAAAGAATCACAGTGTTTCGGGTTGCAAAACAAAGAATTTTGTATGTACATGAGCTGGTTATGTAGCATTGTCCTACACTTGTGAAGTATACGTCTGCAAATCCAAGGCAGTACACACCATCTTTCTGTGCGCGTGTTCTTCGGTTGCGCAAGTCATTGTTTACCACGGCACCAAGTCTTCCCAAGGTGCTTTTCGAGACAGCGTTTGGGAGAGCTTTGTTTTCCAAACATGCAGGAGCTCATTTCTTGCGCGCAAGTGTCAGGTGGACATGGAGACTCCACTGGAGGTCGTGTTTGAGGGAATGGAGGATGGTGACCTGTGGAGAGATGCCGAGATCGTATCATGTATCCAGTACTTAGCAAAGTCAACAACAAAGTTGAATGTTCCAGCTTCCTTTGCACGTGTGTACAAGAACTTCTTGGACAAACTATAGAAATGACTGCGCACAATTGGACAAAAGGGTTACAAGCACTGGCATGAAGCATTGCACTGTGAGTTGTTCAGTGTTTTGTGTACTTTTCCAGTTTTGAAGTACACGGCAGCAAAATTGTCAATTTTGGAAAAGGCGGAAATCGGCGGGAAAAGGGCGGAAATCGGCGGGAAAAAGGCGGATTTAGGCGTCCCACTTTTCTATCACTTTTAATTGCCTAAATGTAGCAAATTTTGTGCTCGAAACGATGTCTACTGAAACATTAGACAGGGGTCTCGGTTTGATACGCTCGGCGACCATGTCTTTATCATCGGACCCGCTCTACCAACAAATGGAGGAAGAGAGACAACGCTTGCTTGCTTCCTAGCTAAAGAATCCCTTCTTTTGGAAAGACACATTGAAGTTGTTTTTAGAGTCCGACCAGTTCACGGGGCTGCTGGAAGTGTTGGTGAGGCTGCATTGGAACGGAAGAAGCACGACACCACCAATCGGAAGTTGTTTGCGGAGGAAAAACCAGAAGAAACGGATGTGGCACACCATGGTGTTCAGGCCAAAGTTCTCACACGATTTTGCGCAAAGACATTGGTTGAAACGGATAACAATTTAAGGCACACCCCAAAGAATACTATAAGCTGTCTTTTGCTCTTGATGAAACCTTTTCCAGATTCATTGTGATGGTGCAGGCTTCCGCCATGCCCCAAGCAGAGTCGCACTCGGATTTGGCAAAGGAGATGCCAAATGTGATCGAACCTCCAAACGAGACCATTCCTGCCACCCAAGAGACCATTCCTGCCACCCAGGCAGTTATTGAACTTGAGGATTCTCCAGTCCCCGAGGAACCCGCTGCAGTGCATGCTTCACTTCCCAGTGTGTCACCGCAACCTTTGGACCCTGGAGTTGTTCAGGCACCTTTAGAGAATTCTCCAGATGCACATGCCCCAATTGTGCCAGAGGTACCAGAGGTACATGCCCCAATCGCGCCAGAGGTAGTTGCCCCAGCTGCCATGCCTGCCCCACCTTTGCCAAAAGGTGATGATGAATTCTTGGAGGTGAGTTCGGGGGACCAAAGGGCTCTGGCAAAGGCAAGTCCAGACGATGCTGTGGTACCCACCCGTCCACCACCCCCAAAGCTGACAAGGGGGGCTATCAAGAAATGGCTTTGGCGTTTGGTCCAGCCAAAAGCCAGTGGCAAGTTCAAGGTTCCAAAGGAAGTTGTGGATGAGTACCGTGATGAACGAACACGTGGTCGGGTAGAGGCACTGTTCGAGAAAAGCGGATACCAACGGGACTCTCAGTTTCAAAAGAAAGTTTTGTTGTCTACTGCATAATTATACTAAAACCTCGGAATTGTAGACATTGTGCCAAGATTGTTCCCTATGGACACTGGGACACAACCTGTCTCAGGAGGTTTTCATTCAGAAGGTACGACGGATCTATGAGTCTGTGAATGAAACCAGCCTAGAGAGCAACTATGAGTTCTTGTCTGAAGATGACATGAAGGAGCTTGGTTGGTCCGAGTGCCTCGAGCCAATTGTATGTGGAGTGGAACTTTTGATTCGACAGTGGGAGAAACAAGTCAGACCGAACGAACTGTGCATCAAATCATTTGTTCAAAGCAAATGTGTTTTTCTGGAACAGTGCATCAGATCTGTTCAAATCATTTTTCTGGATTCCATGCACAAACCATAAGCCAAGGAAAAAGATACGTGGAGTCAAGAAATACTGCTCAAACAAGCCAGGATACACGAGGAGACATTGATTGATTGTTTCGCTCATTGTTGGCATCAGCTTCTGGTTGAAAAAGGGATGTAAGTGTTCTTGGAGACGTCTTTGCTTTCAAGAGGAAGAGTGATTACGGCGAGGGGATTCTTTACTGGGTCCTGGTCTCTCAGAAAGGACAGAAGAAGAACCTAGTTTGCATTAGGTTCGCATGGAAAAACAAGCCACTCTCCAGACGTCCAAACACACATGTGAAAACTAAGGAGAACGCGTCGCGACATTGTTCAGGAGCTGGTGGAAGAGGAGCTGGGAGACGGTCCCACAATGAAAAAACTGGATGGAAAAATCCGGAAGGTGGACCCTGAATTTGCGATGTTTGATGACGATGAGATGATGGAAGGTCAAATGGTTGAATTGGACTGTTTATCTATTTCTGCTGTTTCTGTTTCCAAGGAAGGTGTTCTTCAGTTGCGTGCTTTTTCAGTGGCTTGGTAGTGCGACATTGGGGCGCCTAGGTCAGCCCGATGAAGAGGTGAGTGAATCCTCAGATGGCCTCGAGGAAGCTGCTGCGGAGACACAGCAAGAAGTTCTTAAGCAGGTCAAGTTTCCAGAGGTGGAGAAGGATAAGCCGCTCTATACGATTCTCCCTTCCATTAGCCGTTGTATCACCAAGAGGGTTGAGAAGCTTTCAGAGGAAGAAAAAAAGTTGAAGGCAATTGCTTCTCCAAATCAACTCATTACTCAGTAGCCTGGCTACCAATTAACTTGCAAGAGATCGAAAGAAACATGATGACCAGAAACACTGCCATTTTGAGAGGGACAAAACGACAAAACTTATGCAAATGGACTTGTGGTCACAGGTAATCCATGTTGATTTCAGGCTCTTGGAGAAGGTTTGTGAACTCACCAAGAACCTCTCCACTGCCGATGAGCAAATGGGTCAGATCTACACGGCTGGTGTTGTCAATGGATTCACCAAAGAGTTCCATGGCTTCATTTGCTTGTCAAACCCAGATTCCTTCTTAGCTTTGTTTGTGAAAGATTTCCGGCTAAGGTCCCAAAAACAGATGGTCCAGCTGCATCAAGATGCCAAGAAATGGCCAGTTCCCCAATGCACTCAGAACAAAATGAAAGCTTTGATTGTTTTCCTGGTGCCCAGGGCCATCGAAGCTACTCTTTTGCTGCCGCGGGTGAAGCTGGGGGGCCCATTGCTATACATTTTATTCAAGTGATGGAGGTTCAAACAGACTATCTGCTGGCTTTCGCTTGCTCTGAGGAGTGCTCTGAAGAGTCTTGGTAAAACCTCGGCCAAGTCGGCTGAGAATCGTAGTGCTGCGAAGGGGAAGGCGAAAGCCAAGGCAAAAGGCAAATCACGTGCTGAGCCTTAAAGCCCAACATTTGCACGAGGGGCAAGTTTGGTTGGCCATGTCCATGATGGAACATGGTCCACTTTTTGGTGCCTTAGAGTTTGGCTGGAGTAGGGCAGTGTGAGGACGCAGAATAGCATCCAGCTGCACACCGACCAAACACGTGTGGAAGTGCGAAAGAAAAACGGTGACTCCTAAGAATTTGTGTGGCGGTGCCCATTGATTTCGGTGGAGTTCGAGCTTCTTCTGGCGCACTGTTGTTTTTCCTCACTTCTCTCATCCTGATCCTAATGCAGCCAGGCGAAAGTGAAACGGCTGGGCCTCTTGAGGAACAGCTTGCAGAATCATTTGGCGATGGAGTTGGGAACCAAGCGTGTGCTTCCAAGATCTCCCAAGTCTCACTTGGGTGCACACATGGTTTGTGTGACAGGTTCATGTCAAAGGATGAGAGTCACCAGTTGGGTGTCATGTTCATTTGTTATGGTTTGTTGTCCCAGCAGACTTGCGCACAGCATTCTACAAATACGCTGAAGTGCTGCGAAAGGAATTTCAACTAGCAGCATTGGATTCAGTTTGTCTGAGTTCCGCGTTTCCGATTCTATGCCTTCGAGCTTATGTACTCAAGCTTTGTTATTCCTCACATAGAATCAAAGCGGTTTGTCTTCTCAGAGTTTGCCAAACTAGAGAGATTTTACAAAGAATTTTGATGTTATATTTATGTGATATTATATTGAGAGCTGTCATTGCAGTGTTGCGTCATTGAGTGAACAGTACACTCACAAAGCGGCACAGCTCTGCAGGTCACTGGAGTGGACACCAAGCTGGCCCTTACTGCTGTATCTGCCAAGCCTGGGTGTGAACGTGATAGAGACAAAAGGAAAGCCAATGCTGAACGTGACTTACACCGGAAGTTCGCGGCACTGGGTTTATCCTTGCCAGTGAATATAGAGGAAATTGTACATGAAATTGAGACTGGTGCTGTGACCACGCATTGGGTGAAACCATCGACATGGTTGAGAGTGTTGCTTTCAAAGAACCCAGCGTCGCTCTTTGGGGAAGGTCTCGCCAAAGAAAACTGTTCAGCTTTTTGGGCGCTCTACCGGCATCAAGAGCCGGATCATGAAGTGTTCAATATACGTACAGAAGAACAATTGTCTCGAACTATTCCCCTTTGCGTGTATGGGGATGAAGGCAGGGGCCCCAAACGTGGAGTTTTTCTGATCTACACGATAGAGTCTCCGATAGGAGTTGCAAAATATGCAAACACGCCATGTGAATGTGAGTGTGAGATTGGCCGGATGCCTTCAATGGATTTGCCTTCAGATGAGGTAGTGCAGGACTTGGATGCTGCACTCCTGAAACACGCGTCTGAGCAATCGACGAACTACAAGCAACACAGTTTCACCACGAGACACCTTTTATTTGGAGTTCCCCACTGGCTGTACTGCAAAAACCGCAATGTCATTGATGAGCATGTGCTCTTGATGACAAGGGACTTGATGGAATTGCTACAGACTGGCTTCATGTTTGAAGGACTTTGGTTGCTTCGCAGATTTTCACAGTAGTTAATGTTTCCTCGTAAAAATGTTTGTTTCCCTACATGTGTTTTTTTTGCAGCAAACATTCCAGGACAAAGATACTTTGCTTGCTGCATAGGCTCCAAGGGGGACATGAAGCATCAAATGCAGCTGGGAAACCTCAACAGATCGTACCATACCATGAGTGGTAAACAAAAGAGTGGCATGTGCAGCCTTTGCCTTGCAGGCACAGACGGTGTACCTTTCACAGATTGTGCAAACAACCCTCAATGGCTGCAGACTCTTTACGCAGTGAAGCCGTGGGACAACACCCCTCCTTTGGGCTTGCTTCCTTTCAATGCTCAAGCACCTGAAAAGATGTATACTCTTGACCCCTTCCACCTGTTCAAGGTTGGCATGGGTAGGGACATTTGTGGCAGCAGTATTGCAACCCTAGCTCGTCTTGGACATTTCGATGACCCAAACGCTCCAGATGAAAGCCTAGCTTTTCCTTCAAGGCTTGAGCGGGCGCACAAGTCCTTTGAACTTTGGTGCCTTGCAAACCGGTGTAAAGCAGGCTTGCGTTCATTCACCGTTCAGTTCTTCAACATTGCCAACAAAAGTTCGTCGCCATGGACAAACTCCAAAGGATCAGACACGATGCTGATGTTACGCTGGTTGCTTTGGCTAGTTTCGCTGTTGCTCTTGACTCGGGGTGATTCTCCACCTGAGCATGTGCAGTTTTTCAAGCTGTTGAAGCATACCATCGAGAGTGCCCAGTCAATGTTCCACATTATGCATTCCCATCCGCTGTGGATCAAGCGGTCTTGTGGCCGGCTCTTGTATACTCGATGTATGCTGATGTTAAGAGGCTACAAGGCCTTGGCCCGGCGTACCATGACATTGCAGATTGGTGGTTACCGCTTGAAACCCAAATTTCATGGGCTACACCACGTTGCACAGTTTGTGAAGGATGCTCTTCAAAGAGGTGCACCATTGCTGTTGAACCCGCTTTGCTTTGCCTGCGAGCCAAACGAAGATACTGTAGGGAGAATTTGCAGGCTAAGCAGAAAGCTTGCTACACGGACGCTTACACGTCGGCTTTTGCAACGGCACTTTTTAAAGAAAGGTGCTCTACTTCGAAGGAGCAAAGACATTCGGAAATGTTCGCTGAAGTAGGTCATGGTACTTGAGGCTCTCACGAGCTGGTCGAATTTAAATTGAGAGGACATTTGATGTGGAGAGGCCGACCCAGGTTGGAAAAAACGTAGTGGAGTGCCTTGGGTGTCAGATGCAGCGCGGAGTGGGGATGTCGGGGATCTAAACAAGTTTATGTGTTGTTTTTTGGTCATTGCGCATGCGGGTTCTTTTTGCTCAGGTCCTTGCTTGGGCCCATGGGTTTTATGTGTTTCACTTCCTTGAACACAAACACGACACGTTGCCACTCCCCCTGTTGCATCGATATCCATGTTTTCAGTGTTTGTTGCCACCAGGAACATCTTTCCAGGATTTTTCTGGAATGTATCAACACTGGATTGGAGAGGTAAGGTTTTGTTGCAAATCAGAAACGGCGGTTTTCTTTTTTTTGCGGCGTTTTTGTTTGAGTGGAATTTAGTGGAGTCTTTTTTTTTTTAGAAAAGGCAGAAATTTCAGCCTTTTTCAAAAAGGCGTTTATTTCTGCCACAGGAGTCTCTAGGTATATTTATGGTTGTCGATCTAAAGGTCCTAGACAGCATTGTGTATGACGATGACCCGGAACATATCAAAATCTCATTTGGCAAAAGTTTTTTCTCGAGTTGGCGAAAGTATTTTTTTTGCCGAAAGATCTGGCAAAAGATCAAATTTGTACTTTTGTATGCATGTTCTTTTGCTTCCTGAACAGCTGGTGGCAGTGACTCAGTTACATGAGCTGTGGAAGTTAGATAACCTGCTGCTGATGCGGCTGTTACTACTACTACTACTACTGCTACTACTACTACTACTACTACTACCACTACCACTACCACTACCACTACCACTACCACTCCTGCTACTACTACTACTTCTACTACTTCTACTACTACTACTACTACTACTATTCCTGCTCCTGCTTTGGGGGGGGTGGCTTTGCGGCAAAACTCTACCCCGCAAAAGGCGAAAGTTTGGCGAAAGTCGAAAGTTCAGCTCAAGATTAGATTGGCGAAAGTTCACCCTGCCACATCTGACCCCCAGCCCATTATGAGTAAGTTTGAGTGACCGGCTACTACAGTGATTCTTGCAATTTTGATTCTTGCTGACTTGTGATTCTTGCTGACACCCAGGAGAAACAAAAGAGACGTACAGGGTGTCAACAGTTAAGTAGAAGACACATGCTGACAAACAGTGAAGCTTCTATTTTGTGTTTGCCAGTAAAGAAGAAGCCATTGACGTGAACAAACACAACATACATGGCACACATAAATACAACGTACTTCGGCGAAAGATAAAACGCAGGAAGGCGAAAGTTTGGCGAAAATAAATTTGTTTGGCGAAAATGACGGATCCCGGATGAAGGAATTTAGATCAACTCCCATATGAGTAAGTGGATTCCAGAGATTGATTGAAATAGATGAACGGTGGGCGAGAGCTGGGCATCATCCACCCTTCTTTCCAGCCTCATCCAGCCTCCCTTTCGGTTGGGTCCCTGTCACCGTTGCCCAGCCGATTGACTGTGGCAGGAGTGCCTGCCACCGCCCTCTCCGAGCGAGAGCTGGAAGCGATGATCGAGTGATTCTTTGAGAACCGGCGTAGAGTCGTAGCATGTCGTAGCACCGTGCCACCTGGAGTGTCCTCGAATTGTGTTTTTTTTTCGGGCTGCTGGCTGGGCCATGTCACCGTGTACAATTCTGAATCTTTGGATTTGAAGGGGACGTGCGTGTCGAGGTTTCTCAGTGTCTCCTATCTTCGGTTTCTGGTAGGGTATATATCGGGTTTTAGGCCCACGTGTTTCCAGAAGGCCTGCAATCTTACAACCGTAGACCTGATGGAGGCCGGCAGCGGACGCAGATGCCATGCCGTTGGGGTTCGACATGTTGATAGACTGTAGTCCAGCCGTACCTTTTTTGAGAAGCTTTGTGGATTTGTTGGGGTGAAATTTGACTCGTCCAAGCGCCCAGTTTACTCACCAGACAGATGGGTTTGGAGGACTCTCTGAACGTTGCAGCTCTGATTCCTCATGCGCCAAAAAGGTAGGTATCGTGCGATGGCTTCCGAAAGTTCTTTCCTCACCTTTGCAGTCATGTTTTTGCTGTGCTGTAGGATGCTCCTGGGCCAACTCGTTCCATTTTTTGGGGGGTGGGGAAGTTTTGGTGAACATACAGTGCATACTTTTCAGTGGCCAACGGTCTCTCTGGGAGTACCACAGATTGGAGGTATGGGGTTCCGCTGGCGTTCGCAAAGCCTTGAGCGCTATTGCCAGATTTGCGGGGCAAGAGCACGCAGCACCACGGATATATAGTTAGTTTCTTGGATGGTACAGTAGATCAACCAGCATCCATCATGAGTTTTGGGCGATTCACTGCAGATATCCTTTTATGGCAGATAGAGTCACCTCCCTGGTATGAAAGCCTGGATGCAAGTGTTGCATGTTGGAAGGCAAGATGGCACCTTTCAGTTATATATACTTTCTCCGATGCTGTCAGTGTGCTCAGATCTGCTTGGTTGCAGGCCGTCATGTCTCAAATATGACACCAGCCAGCGTATGCCTCAGCCAAAATGGATCTCTCAAAGGAGTGTAGGGGGTTGCTAAGATTAGATCATTTGACAACCTCACCAATCCCCCAATCATCCCCCTCTCAGAGTCTCAGTGGTTCATTTGTGATGAACCATCCACTTTGGCCTGACCACCATGGCAAGCGCGTTTGGGGTGGTGCTGCGGGCGTGTCCGCGGACGCCGAGTATGCCAAGCTCTTCGAAGAAGCTGCTGGTGCACCATCCCTGAAGGTGGGAGAGTCGGTTGGAAGACGTGGTGCATTTGTTTGACGAAAAAGATGCTAGCCTGCATTCCTCATCTGGTGGTGACCAACGATGAGAAGACCTTTAGGAAACATCCTACTCCCGCACGACCACCTCTAGCAGCACGACCGATTCAAGCAAACACCCGTATCCAGGAGTTTTGAGGTGCCTTGCAGGCATGACAAAGCCAGTTAGGCATCTATACTGCCTCTATCAACCCACCCAAAGGCAGCATAATTAGAAGTGACATACGTGCCGCTTCGAACGGCGCTCCTTCCTCCAATAAACACACAATCAACAAAATACATAAATGTGTGTTGGTTGTGGGTGAAGTGAGATCAGCCACGATCAGCCTGAAGAAAATTAGGACCTGAACCGTCATGAAACCATCGACGGAACGAGAATGAAACCACCCATCCTCCGTGTGCTGGTATAGGGAGTCTAGGAGGCAAACTGATCGATCAGCTGCGACACCACAGACACCAGTCAAACCTTTTACATGCATTGGCATAAACAGAAGCAACAGACCTGGAGAGTGAATGCCACTCAGCTCAAGACAAAATCGTTGTCCACCCATGACTTACTGAGACGTGACACAACTTCAACTCGCTGGTGACCTCGACATGCCTCGCAGTGCCCCTCCGAGCTATTCCGAGCTCGTAGTCAGACCCAACAGGATCATAGTGTTTTGATGTATTTCGCAGCATCAGTTGTCCTCTTCATTGCTTTCACCCCCGCCTGTGCCGGTCGCCGTGACCGTGGCATCCAGGACCCCCCGCGCCGCGAGCTGCGCGAAGTCCGCGCCGAGCTCCTCGCCCACGCCGCGGGCAGCAGATCGGAGGCCCTCGAGCGCCCCAGCCTCGGCCGACGCGTCGCCGGCGCCGGCGGCGCCGCGGTGGCGGGAGCCGCTGGGAGTGCGGCGCGGCCGGGGGTGTGGAGATATCATGAGAAGACCAGTGCGACTTGGGATGTATGGTGGGGAAAATATATGGGAAGCTGAGGCCGTTTTCTTTAATGCAGATGTGTTTCTTTGTTTTGGTGTACTTTTTTGGTGCCTATGTTTAAGGAGCTAGCCATGCTCAAGTTCCTCTACTATGTTTATCATTAAGGTCACCCCCACCCCCCAGCCAGAGCAATGTAAGAATAAACATGTGCATGTGAAGCAGCTCGCGCACCAAACACACATCGCCGCCATGCGTCGGGCTGCCCCAAACATCTCTCTCCACCGAGGAGAACACGGTGACCGTGCCGCCGCCGCCCCAACTGGGCTTCATGGAGCGCATCGAACAATATGAACGGCAGAAGCAGCAGGAGAAAGAGCTCCAACAGCAGCGTTGGGAGCAGCAACTTCTTCGCCAACGCCAACTCTATGAAGGAGCCTTTGGCGCACCCTCCCATCACCATGGAGACGCCCTACGCGTGGAACCCGGAGGGCCCGATCACTTGGACGAACACCTGGCAGCCACGCGCCTGGGCCAGGAGCAACGCACGCTGGGCGAACGCCTCTTCGACGGGGCGGCTGGGTGCCCCAGTGCTTGGCGCGAGCCGCACGAAGGGCGTGGCTTGCGTGCTGCGCCGGGGGCCGCGCAGATCTCGCAGATGGGACCGGCCGAGCTACGAGAAGTGCGGCTGAAGGACTTTCAGGGCGCGGCTGGAGACTTGGACGTTGGTTCTTTGGAGTCTTTTTGTTGGTTTGATTGTTTTGTGTTTTGGGGGGCTCTATCTCAAGAATGACGAGGATTCAATAATGGTCCTAATATGTTATATTGTTGTTTTCTTCCTGAAGCTGCAAGTCCCAGGCTGTTTGAGCGGCCCATTGTCCGGGCTTCCTCCAAAGGAGCTCCAGCCGGTGCTCTTCAACTCGCCACGGCAAGAGGAGCAGCGTGGCAGCTACCTGCAGAGAAGCCCGCGAGATCGCGCCATCATCGACTCGATCATTGCAGGCTTGGAGGTCACCATCAAGCCGTGAGCATCCAGTTTTTGCTCGTGTTTTGCCGGGAGTATGGTTTGAAGGTTGAACCTTCGAGCGATTCGAGCTCCTAGAAAAGATGGCTGCAGAAGGAGCTCAAACCGTGAGCTCGTGTTTTCTTTTTTGGATTTGTGTTTTTCCTGCAAAGAGAGGGTCAAGATGGATCATTGTCATATCTTGGCTTTGGGAGTCACTCACAGTTCGCGTGGAAATGATTGCGGAAACACAGACCGAGGACCTCAGGTGATGTTGAGGGTTCTTGAAAACATACCCAGTCAGTGGAGAACCGTTAACCTTCATCAATTGTAACTTTTTTGGGGGGAAATTGGTTTCTCAACTAAACATGAACAGGTTGACAATTGAGCAACATTGATCAACCCATTGTTTCCAGCAAAGCTGAGGGGCAGGTTCTTGAATGATGACACCCTTTGACCCTGCATTGATGAAATTGGCAGGTGTACAGCTCTCAAAAGCGAGTGCTGCACCAAAGCCCTTTGTTTGTACCTTGCCAAACGGCACGGGTTCCGCACAGACACGGCCTAAGGCCTGCCATGACAGTTAAAAGAAGTGGCCATGCACGTGATTGGACAGTGTTCTTGGTTCATGTTCATTCGTGAGATTCCCAAGGCTTCCCAAATTATTTGATGGCACACTCATGAAGAAAGACATGACCAAAGCTCCTTGTTGTTCGAGACCCGCACCAGCCTGCAGGCAAACATCAGAAAAAATACACGGGTGTTGCTCATCTGGGATGTATTTCTCATAGTTGAATAGTTGATTTT